CTCTGCATCTTAATCCTTCTGCTGGATTCTGCCATTTTTCTGCTTCTGACACTTTCCCTTTTTCTGAACTGTGAATGTTGTATTACTTTTCTGAGCCTTTAGACCGCACTCCTTTTCAAGTTTGTTGGGGTTTTATTTTAAAGTGCATTTTTAATAACTGCTGTGATTGTTATTTGTTGTTTTATGCTTTTGTGCTGGCTCTCTTACCACAAGATGTTTTAGTTGCATCCCACAACTGTTGCAGTGATGTGGGAATTGTGTTCTCAAGTTTCACTTCATAAGCTCTACAATGACTGGAGAACATGTTCAATATTGTCCCTTATCCTGCAGGCTAAGTTATCACATATATAGGGAAGGAAGTGGCTATGGCCTGGAAGGTCTTGTGTGGTTTTTTGGTTTGTTTTTGGGGTTTTTTTTTTTTTTTTTTTTTGATTGATTGATTCTCTTGTATCTCTCAGTTCTTTAGCCAGATCATTTGGTACCATTTGGGCAGGAAATTTTGACTGCCTGCAGGGGAGGACCTGAAGTTTGGTATCCAACAAAGAAACCAAAGGCTGGACACACACTGGCTGTATAAAGATCATGGGATTATTTTTTTAAATTTTTCTGCTGTGCTCTATTCTGAATGAATCAAAAGGTAGCTATGATGCCATCAGAGTAAAACTATTATTTTTTATCAAAAGGTCTTTGTGGAATATTGTACCTTGGGAACCTTTCCCCCCCAGCTTCCCATCCAGAGAGTCAAGCATTGCCTGTGAACTTCTTGCTGACACAGTATACTTACAGCACTCCCACGGCTGGAGCAATGTTTACACCATGGAAACAACCATGATGGGATTGAACTGAGTGTTTCATAGAACCATATAATCATAGAATCACAAGGTTGGAAGCAACCTATAAGATCATCTAGTCCAACCATCTCCTCATCACCATTGCCACCATGATGGTGCTTGGTCAACCAGCCAGCAAAGAAGATATCCCATACCAGAAGGAGAAGAGGAGAGAAAAGAAGGTGATGTGCTGGTAATAGGTCTAAAGGAGCTTTTGCAGTATGACTATAGCACTATATTTCTCAGGTCTGAGCCCTGGGCTACAGGAGGTTCCCAGCAGTGGCTGTGACACACAAAGCAGCTTGAAGCCAGTGTACAAGCAATGACCAAGGCCGGCATTGGTAGCAGGGCAGGAGGTAGAGCTGGAAAAGACATGGAGGCTGCACAAACAGGCATGGGGAAGGTGGGATTTCATCCCTAAAGATGATGAATGCAGGTAGATCAAGCAGTTATGGTTAGAGCAGAACACAGCATGTGACAGGAGAGGAGATGAGGGGATTATTTTTAGCTTTAGTTTCCACAGAGACTGTGCAGTGTAAGTAATGAGAAAGGACTGGTTGGCACAGGAGCCTGTGGGGTTGCACTCAGCTCCATGAAGAGTATTTCTAGGTTGTAACTGTGCCAGGATGTAAATCTGAGAAATGCACTGCTGAATCAAAGAAGCCAAAGGGTGTGTATCCCATCTTGTCCTGAGGCCTTGGAAGCTCTTAGGGAAGTAATCATTTCATTATGATCATTTTTGACTGGCTTTTTTTATGTACATATGGCCTATGTGCCCATTTTGTAGCTTTCAACTTTGCTGGAAACAGAGGAGTGCTGCTGGAAAGCTGCAATATTTCTGCTTTCTTCTTCAAGAGACTACAAACCTGTCCTCCTGTCTGCAGTGCAGTTACGCACACCTCTGAATCAAGTGCAGCAGGCCTTCAGGGTGGAGTGGCCGTTTGTATCTGCCATGCATCAGCGTCGGTACCCGACACGGGCAGGCCTGGGGTGCACCTCTGTGCTGCTGCTCAGCTGCAGCCCCGGGCCACCCCCGACAGCTCCCCACCTCGTCTATTTACGTGTATGTATGTGCTCGTACAAAGGAAAAGGGCCGTGGCGCTTCCTTCCCGCGCGGTGCAGCTGCCGGGCCGCTGGGGGTCAGTGTTGCCCCGCGCAGCGCCGCTCCCGCCCGGGGTCGGGGCACGGCCGCGGCTCCCTCAGTACCGCCGCGCCGCCGCGGAGCGAGCCTGCGGATGGGGCAGGGCCGAGCTGGGCGGGCTGCGCAGCCACGGCACTGCTGCTCCCAGTCCAGGATTTCGATAACCTAGCAGCCAGACGTTTTGCTCGGGAGGAGATTGTCCCACTCGTCTGACCCTGCTGTGTTTGAGGGATCCATCTCTAAGTGGTGTGAAGTAGCAGTTTTGTGGGCAGATGTTCTCATCTCTGCAGCCAAAAGCTGTTCCCCTGTGTGGGTCTCTTGGAGACCATGAATAAATACAGTGTCAGCACTTTTACATTCCCTGATAAAAATGAAGTTGTGTGGCCAGAAGCTGAGACATTTACTGGAAGTTCTATTTGATGTTAATACTGATGTGAAAGCAGAGCATTTATGTATTAGAAGAGTATTTGCTTTGGAGAAAAGCTCTAAAACCACAGCATTACGTTCCCACAAGCTATGGGCATATGAGACCAGTGTGGGAGAGTGAGCCGTGCTTTTCTATAACCTCTCTTGAAACTTCCACAGCAGCTTTATTCCAAAGGTCCTAAGTGGAGATGCAGCAGTCAGATACTACAGCAATCACATTGATTTTGGAAGACTTTGGATAAAACTAATATGCAATGTGTAACAAGCAACTAGAGGGCAGAAACTGTTGCCCTCAGCCACCCTACTTGAACCATCAGAAGCCTTTCTCTTCTAGTCTCAGTTTATCAGTGCCATCGCTCTAAAATAAATGGCACCAAAATTCACCTGTTCTTATCACCCAGTCTGTCCTCTCCTGCACACAGCAACATTCTTGCCTTCTGAACTGTTCCAATGGTGGAAAAGCCTCACAGTGTCAGCTAACCATTCTAGTAATTAAATGCTCGGGCCTGCACATTGTCCTTGCTCACAGTCCATCTAGTGGTTGTTTCCAATGCTAAACGTGTGCTCTCAGAAACATTTCTGCATGGAAAAAGCTCAAAGCTGGTTGAACAGCTAGATGAGGTTTCTAATATTTAAAGCTGCACTGCACAGCATCTTTTCATATATTCACACATGTAATAGGTGTGCGTCTAGGTCTGTCATTTTTGTCTTCTCTCCTTTTGCTCAACCAAAAAAAGAACCAATAACTGCATTCCTGGTGAGATATGAGGCTGTTCTTGATTCCTTCACAGGGGAAGAAGTCAATAGCACTGGGGGTAGCTGAGGAAGAGGCTGTAGCTGATGGGGGGCCTCTTTTCCCAGGTAACAGTAATAGGAGGAGAGGGAATGGCTTTAAATTGCTCCAGGATACGTTCAGATTGGATATTAGGAAACATTTCTTCTCAGAAAGTGGTGAGGCACTGGCACGGGCTGCACAGGGAGGCAGTAGAGTCACCATCCCTGGAGGTGTTCAAGAAAAGGGTTGGTGTGGCACTGAGGGACATGGTCTGGAGCAGTCATAGGCATGTGCTGATGTTTGGACTAGAGGATCTTAGTGGTCTTTCCAACCTCAGTGGTTTTGTGATACCGTGAAAATGGTGCTGCTTTTACATAAAGCTGAGGCTCAGATAAAGCTGTGCTGTTCCTTGATTTTGTGGATTCTGAACGTAAGTTTGTGCATAGTGAAAATAAAGAGTAGGATTAAGAATTAGATGGAGCTGGAGATGAGCATCACATCACCAGTGTGGGTCAGGAAGCATGTAGCTGTGCCTTAGGTTCAGCACACTGGTTTCCCCATACAGCAAGTGGCATGGAATTGTACAATGGCTTATTTTGTGGGGACTGCCCCCAGAAGGGCTGGCTGCACCAGGAAGTTCACCCACTCTGAGCAGTATTAGCTCTGAGGTCGGGCAGAGCTTGGGCATCAGCAGTACCTCTTTATAGAGCCATCAGCTGTTCTGAGGTTTCCAGTGCTGCGGTAGTGGCTTTCCTCCAGCTGTTGGCCAGCTGTGGGGGGCTGCAGCACTGACAGCATTGGCTGTGACAATGAGTTTGCTGAGATGGATGTTTACAGTGTGCTGTGATAACGTTTTGCCATTGTTGGTTTTTTTTCCTGAGAAGGAAGGAAGGAAGTTTGTGTAGCTCAGCAGCAGAAACAGCAGTAGCCAAAGATGAGTTTTTATCCATCTCTTTCCAGGTTTTCTGGCTGAAACTGCAGTCTCTTTCTGCCTCCTCTTCAATAGGAGGTAATTATCTCTTAATCGCAAAAGTAGAATGAGAAGAATGGAGGAAGCAGAATGGCGCCCTGGAGAAATGCCTGGGAAAATAGGTTTAAGAAAATGATGAAAACAGTGCGTTTAACTTCCATGGGTAATGAAGATACAATATTTGGAGGTGCTGGGTGTGCCTTTGGGTTTCTCTTTGTGTCACAATGACAAAGCAATTGGAGTTACAACCACTACCAGTTACCATAGGAGTTCTCTTAGTGACTGGAAAACCACCTACACAGAGATTGCACGTAGCGTATTTACAGCAACGAATGGGAACAATGGCAGCTGGAGCTCCAACCAGCCCTGTTGGTGCTGGAGGGGCAAACAACACTATAACAACCACCACAGCCACAGGAACTGATAACACATTCAGAAACCATAAATCACTCTTTCCTATCTCTATCATTGTGTCCATGACACACTGAGTTTCTGATTGCTCAATGAAATGTCATTTGACTCCAGACGTTTGGTATTTGTAAGGAAAGCTGTTCCTGAGCCAAATCACTCCTTTGGAGTGCAGCAAAAGGCTACAGCACTGGTGAGGAGTGGCTGTGTAATGTGTGGGATCCTCAGGGGCATTACCTCCCCAGCCACATCTCCCCTCATACAACAAAACCAATGCATGTGGCAGGATCTTACTGTCCCCCCTGAACCTAGACCAAGGATTTTCTGTTGCCACCAAGCTGAGATTTGTCCCTTGATGAAAACAAAACAAAACAAAACAACAAAAGCACCACCTTTTTCTCATCAGGAAAGAAAAGAATATAAGCCACTGAGAATTAAGTAGTCATTTATAATTAATTTTATTCCGATTAAAATAATTTTTGGAAATCTTGCAGGGTTTGCTTGTTTTATATCGGGTTCCTAGACAGCACTTACATTATACACGCTCACACTTGGAAAAGATTATTTCACCACATGTGTTTACTGTAATTATTCTTTTAAGTGTGCTCCATTTGATTCTGTAAAACATTGAATGTGCCAAAGGAGATACCAAAGGTGAAGATATTGAATGCTGCTCGTGGTACAAAAGAGAAATAAGCTGAAAATATTGACATAAGACCCTTAGTTGCCATGACAAGATGTGGGTTGTCCCCCCTCCAAAACTGCTTTCAAGCTATGCTCTTTTCTATGGCAAGTCTGGATGAGAAGGAAGGATGAAATAAAACACTGAATGAAAATATTTCTAGCTGTCACTAGCAAACTTTTCAGCTTTAATCTGTTTTTCACCCATTCGGCTTTTCAGACTTAGCAGAGACAGGAGAAGCAAGCCAACCTCACGCTTGGCTCTCCATGCAGCTGCACTCCTGGCCCCATTCACTGTGTCCATGCGCACGTTGCCCTCCCTGAAAGTGATCTGGGGACACGGCCATGTTGGTCTGGGGGCAAGGAGCTCTCCCAAAGGAAGCCGCCAGGAGCTACAGCCCAGAGGGCAGCAGATGCTTCTGTCCATTATGGTGCTTTAGGTTCTTTTTCTCACTCTTTCACATCGTCCCTTTCTCAGTAAACAGCTTCTGCTGCCTGCAGGGACTGTCTCTGCACATGGAAAAGCAGGGGCTGCATTCTCCCGGATCACAGTCACTGTCCTGTTACTTTCCATCCCTTCTTTCCCAGTCTTACCCAGTTCTGCAGCTGAGAGAGGCAGAAAGCTTTAGGCCTGGTGTAACCAAAGGCAGCATTCATTCAGGGAGAAGAGTCAGTGTCTGTGCTGCTGAGCTGATGAGGGTAACTCCCTGTCCTCAGGCTCCCCTTTCTGCTTCGGTACCTCCAGCCCGTCCTGGCCTGGTGATAGGGATGGCCCAGCCGAGGGCCTGGCAGCTTCTCTTGGCTCTTTCCTCTTCTCTGAAGTCTCTTTTTTGCTTGGCACCTCTGGTCTGTCTGTCTCTTGGTCACCATCCCCTGTGGCACTTGACCTTACCTGCAAGTCTGCAGTGGGCTGGAGGGGCTCATTGCTCTTCTTCCACCTCCGGGCCCCTGACTGGGTATTGAATTCGTACATTTTGCCAGTGACTTGCAAAGAAGAGAAGACAAGGAATTAAACCATGCCTACTTTAGCAGGTTAAGATGAGACAGATCTCATGATGGGGCTAAAAAAGAAAATGTGAAACACCTGGAAACCAGATGAGTTTGGGAACAGAGCCAAGAGGGAAAACTTCACTTCTTGAAGCAAATATGCCCACCTTCCTGGGCAACTACCAGTTGTGGTCACTGCCCAAACGAGATGCTTCTGCATCTGTATAAAAACCGGCTACAAACATTTTTTGCCCTTTTCAGATTTTGTGAACAATTTCTACTTGGACACCAAACGTAAGTCTCTGCTCTTTCAGTTCACTTACTGTTCAGAGATAGGTGCAAAAACAGCTATCTGTCCTGTGTGATCACATCACCCTAGTCTAATTTACTGTCTCTTGCTAAACAGGTAGAGAATCAGGAGCTTTAGTGGTACAGCTTTTAATTCAACATTATTAATATGAAACAAACAAAGGACTATTAAGGCCTGCAAGGAAATAGTGGCTATGTGTTACTGCATGTTACAGTTTGTATCAGAATTAATGGTTTCTGACACATTAACACAACTCGAGCAATTAAAGATGAAACTGGATCTCTTCACAAGGTTTCCTGAGTGCTTGCAGGACAGACATGTTACAGCAGCCCAGATCAGACAGCAGCTCCTGACTGGCTCTCATAACCAAATTCAGCAGCTGATATGCTGGGAATTATCAAATCTCATCTCCAATCTGCCAACACTTGATCCTCTAAGGTCTGGAATGAGCCACGGAGAGGAGAGGGGAGGAGAAAGCAGGCCTCATTTCTCTGCTGGAACCACAAAGCCATGTTATATTGTAGTGCTTGTGTGAGGCATGACCCAAGTGCTATTGCTCAGGGGGGCTCAGATAACCAAAAATGTGGTGTGATCAGCTTTGTGAGGAAGGGAGCCACCAGCTGCCCTGTCACAACATTGGCAAGCAGCAGGCTGGAGAACATCAATGTTTAGCGTTGAACAAATCCAGTTACAAAGCGGACTTCAGAGCTCATCCCTTCTGCTCCTCTGTATAAATAGCAGGTGGGCTTGAAGCCAGCCAAACCAGCCTTGAGCAGCTCTCTGGATGGCCTTAATTGCACAGTAGGGCCCCGTTTGTTTGCCCAAGTCCCTGTGCCTAGTGTTTCCTATTAGCTCACAGCCTCAGAGTGCCTGGAGCCAGCTAATAAGAAACACAAGTACAGACACTTGGGTGGAAATTTGGCCAGATTAATCCAAGGCTCAGAACAAGCCTGCCTTTTTCTGAATAATTTGAGACCTATTGTTTTGAGCCTATTTTCAGATGTGTTTGTTGAAGGCATATTTTGGCTGAGCGTGCCCTATTTCATCAGCCACCCTTCTCCATGCTGAGGTCCTCAGCTGCCACAGTTCATCTAAAAGCAAACACTCTTCCTTGTTCTCCCCAGCCAGCGATGCTGAAGACTCAGAGAAATGGCAGCAATGCCTGTTGCTGTCTGGAGGAGGTTTGTGCAGGAGCAATCAGCTCACCCATGCAAAAAGGGAGCAGTTTGGGATGCAGAACCCATACACCTGCAGTTCCATCAACATGTGTCCGTTTCTCAGACAAGGGGAGTTCAAAACCATGGAACTGTGACAGCAACCAGGGCAGGGGACAGGAGCTGATTCCTCCTCTCCTTCTGCCTCCTGCACCAGATCTGTACATGTGGGTGAGCAGTGAATAAAATGGCCATTGGAAGTGGGTTCATTCCTCCATTAGAATTGTTAGTAGGGCACTCTCCTGCTTTTCACTCTGTGAGATAGAGCTCCTGCTCTCCTTGGAAACAGCAAACTTGAAGTATGAGAAGCAAATGTCGAACTGTATTTAAATCAATTCATCCAGTTTCTTTCTGGCCAAATGTTCATATTCACTGTTAATTGCTTTTTATTACCTGGGTCTCTGGCTTCTCCGTCAAAGACAGTGTTGAGTTTTATCATTTCCTGTGAAGAGAGACAAATTGTTAAATGAATCCTGTGAATTAGGTAAGCAAGGAAAGCAGTGACTTGGAAATGTTGACCTACATGGATGGAGGTGGATTTCTGTGACCTGTGTGTCACATTCCTGTAGGCTGAGTTTAATCAAAACTGGCAACAAAAGCCATTTGTGGTGAAGGGTGTTGCTACTAGATGTTTGAGGGAGAATTATAAAGGTCTGACATGCACCATACCTCCACATGTGCAGCCACAAGAGGGTAACCTCCACCCAGGGGAAGGTTGGGAATACCCTCTGCAAAGAACCTGGGAAGGCAGAGTGCAATAGTGGGAGGACATTGCAATCTTTATACCATTACAGCTATCTGGGAGCAAAGAAAGTCACTGCATTATTTTTGTCACAAAATAGTACCAGAGAGGCTGCAGAATCTGGCAGTTGGAAGCAAAGGAACCATGATATGGGTGAGCACCACCATACGTGGCGTTGCTTCCAGATGAGGAGGTCAACTGCAACACTACCCTGTTTTGCATTTAGGGACAGTCCTTTTTCCTCCCTTACCATCTCAACGTTCTCTTTGAAAAGAGTCATCCTCCATAAAAAGATGACCATATTGCATGATGGGGCTCAGAGTAAAACTTTTGTTCTGTGTTGTTCTGAGGATAGCAGTACTCACCAAAGCCACTTCTTTCTTAGGTTTTTTCTTTTCTACAGAAAAGTAAATGCACATAGCAAAGAATCAGATGTAACCAGATATTACATTTTTATCCCCCACTAAACAGAGATTTTTAGTTCCTAACTTCTCAGCCTTCTCAAAAAAGACCTTACTGCTTTCCACAGGATGATCCCTAATGCTATTTGGAAAGCGAACACCTTCAGAGTGTTTTGGAGTGAGGCTCAGCCACTGCCAATAACTAACCAAAGTGCATACATTGAAAAGTCTTATTCCTTCAATAATGAATAAATAACAATGGTTTCTTAAATAAAATTCCCTTCCTAAATAATATGAATAGATACAGAAATTCAAATACGTTTATTATTAAAGCTTATTCATATCTTTGTTCCATGAATAATTCCTTTCTTCTATGCCACTCCACACCACCACAACCGGGGATTTCTTTGGGGTGAGTTCACTCCACCTGGCCCAGCCATCATGGGTCTGTGCGCCACATACTGCCCCTTCAAGGCATATTTTGAGGGCTCAGGTGTTGTAGGAGCTTGGACTAGCTGTCTACCAGCAAGCAAATCATCCTCTAGGGGATATTTGAACCACAAATGCAGATTATTGTGTTTGGTGGGGGTTTTTTTCTGTGAGTGTTTGTACCTGCAAAGCTTGTGCATTCAAACATTTGGAGACAAACCAGGGAAGTGCTGCAGATCCAGTCAAGTCAAATTGGGACTGAAGAACAGTTTGGTTATATGTGAATTCACCATGCTATTAATTCATCCCATGTGCAAACAAATGTAGTGGTGTCTCAGCAGCACAGCATTGTGGATGATACCCAACTAGTTGCTGTGATTTTGTCTCACCATTTTGTTTAATGTCCATCCTTTGGAGAACTGCTTGCTGGCAACACGGCCTTTTGCATCTGGGTGTGCAGTGCTGAGGCATTGTGTTGATAGGAAATCTATTCTGTCCAGCCTTCAGGCCTTTCTGCCAGCCCTTGGGAACCAGTATTTTCAGAAAACATGAAGCATCACTTTTTTGGAATTTGGCCAATGCTGAAATGCCTCTAATTGGGCAACCAAGAGAACAGCTAGCTTTGTTGAGCTGTGTTAGTCATGGTTTTTTTTGAGCTGGGCAAAACTATTGAGTAGAGGGAGTTATAAAAGTGGATTCTTAATGAGATGATACAAACCACGCTTGTTAGGGGAAAGCTAGTGGGTCTAATAAGATTTAAAAAAATGCGCTTAAAAGCACCTATTTAAAAAGTGCTTCTTTTTGTATGTGCAATCTGTAGCCAGGCTAAGTGATACAGACCCCTGCAAAGGCACCAATACTTGACAATAAATCTTCAGGTATATGTAATGGTGCCAGGGTGAAATGAAAGGTGTTGGAGAACAGGGAAGGCAGTTGCTGATGAGGGATGGAAACATTTTTTTAAGAATTAACATATAAAAAATACAGTCATTCTTTACCATCTATGCCAGACAACTAGACTACTCTGAATTTGGTTTTTGCCTAATAATTAATAGACATGAATATCGCAAGGACAATGATATCACTTAGGCTGGCATCCCATCATCAGCCAGGGTGTTTGATCTGAGTACTTCTGTACCGGAGCAAATGTATTTGTCTAGAAATGGGTTTACAAATTTTACACAGAATAGTAAACTTGGTGCTGTTGAGAGGTATTAAAGAAGTACACACCTGGAGCATTTATCCTGCAATGAAGAAGAGTGAGAGATATTGTTAACAAATGTCTTAATTTCCCTGTATAAAAGTATCATGATTCATTCTCCTCCACTTGGCAAGAAGGTTGTGTTTCCTTGACTTCTGAGATATGCTTGGTTGGTTTTGTTTATGTTTTTGTTTTCACTGAATGCCTGCTCCATTTAACACTGTTCCCAAACAGGAAAACAACCCTGAGTGTTGCTCTGACACCTCTCCAAGAGGGAATGATAATGAAAAGATACACTCTTATTGATTATAGCATTATGGATTTATGTAATCTGGAAAAAATGCATGTTCAGAAATTCTCATCTTGTTCCATCCTTTGAGGAAGGTCATTTTTTTTTAATCTGCTGTGCAATATGATATATGAAAGACTGTAAACGTATTTGAAAATATAAAAATTGCTTTTTAATGGGAAAGCCTGCCTCCCAGTGAATCACTAGCTCTATTAATAAATAATAACAATGGCCAGGCTATCTGCTCCTGGATTCATTTGTCATTTTTATCACAAGTTGCTAAACTCCTTGCACACATCAGTTGAATTATAATCACCATCATATATTACCTCTACATTTTCTATCATTTCCAAATGTACCTCGCGTCCTGAGAACACTTACATAAATCCTTTCCAAATCCCATGAAAGAGCTCTTATCTCTGTGTTTGTGACAATGCCAGTTTGCAGGCACCTTGGCTCCCAGCAGCCATCTCTTGCCACTCAGAACCAGAACTGTTCCCAGTGGCTTTTGCCAAGAGAGAGCACCTGGAGGTACTGTGAAGCTCCATGGGTCAGAGCCTTGTAACAGGCCAGGGGAGCGCTGCAAGAAGTCTGCAAAAGCTGTTCCAGAACAGAGAATTTGGCATTAGCGCCAGTGTTTGAAACAGCCTCCGAGTAACATGGCTGAGCTGGAGGAGCACATGTGGTACCACCCTTGTGATGGGCATAGACTATGGCTGTATTTTTGCTCAGCACGGACAGGTACAGACTCCAGTTGTGCCTTATGAGCTTAGCTGTCATTAGAGGTCATAATGCTAAATCCACTATCACCTTCCGCTAATGCATTTGCTGCACTATTAGCAAATCCATGAAAAACAATCCATGGACATTTCTGGTTGATTAAAACCAAACATTAGAATCATAAAGTCATAGAATCATCAAAACAAGCTTCTCAAGAGACGAGCCTAGGGGAATGATGCTTGAGCAGGGGGTGAGGCAGATGACTTGTCTGAAATGTGTCTATACCAATGCACGCAGCATAAGCAACAAGCAGGAGAAGTTGGAAATGATTGTGAGTCAGGCTAATTATGACCTTGTTGCTATTTCTGAAACATGGTGGGACCACTCCCATGACTGGAGTGCTGTGATAGATGGCTGCAAGCTCTTCAGAAGGGATAGACAAGGAAAGAAGGGTGGTGGTGTGGCCCTTTATATTAAAGACTGTTTCAAGGTAGAAGAGCTTGGGGTTGGGAATGATAGAGTGGAGTGTCTATGGGCAAGGATCAGGGGGAAGGCCTGTAGGGGCGGCATCTTGGTGGGGGTCTGTTATAGACCGCGTAATCAGGACGAAGAGTTGGATGAGGCATTCTATGAGCAGCTCGCGGAAGTCACGCGATTGCCAGCACTTGTTCTGATGGGAGACTTCAACTTCCCTGATATATGTTGGAAATATAATATAGCACAGAGGAAGCAGTCCAAGAGGTTTCTAGACTGTGTGGAAGATTGCTTCTTTACGCAGCTGGTAGGAGAGCCTACTAGGGGCAGTGCCCTGCTGGACCTGGTCTTCGCTAACAGAGAAGGACTGGTGGGAGAAGTGAAGGCTGGGGACCATCTTGGGCAGAGTGACCACAGAATTGTAGAATTCTCCATTCTTGGGGATGTCAAAAGAGTGACCAGCAAAACTACCTTCTTGAACTTCCAGAGGGCGGACTTTGACCTGTTCAGGGAGCTTGTAGCGCGGGTCCCTTGGGAGTCACTTCTCAAGGGTAAAGGAGCCCAGGAAGCCTGGACGTTCCTCAAGATGGAAATCTTAAAGGCACAAGAACAGGCTGTGCTGAGTGCCCTAAGGCGAGCTGTAGGGGAAGACGACCGGTGTGGATGAGCCAGAAATTACTGTTGAGACTCAGGGAGAAAAAGAGAAAGAAGGAAGTCCCTGGAAGAAGGGACAGGCTTCTTGGGGAGATTACAAAGAAGTAGCTAAGGTATGCAGGGAGGAAGTTAGGAAGGCGAAAGCCCAACTTGAACTCAGGTTACCCTCTGCAGTAAAAAGACAATAAAAAATTCTTTTATAAATATATCAACGGCAAAAGAAGAACGAAAGATAATTCTCATCCTATACTTGATGCACCAGGGAATGTGGTCACTGAGGACAAGGAGAGGACTGAGGTCCTCAATGCCTTCTTTACATCTGCCTTTAACAGCCAGATCAGTTATCCTCTGGGCTTTTTATGCCCCGATCTGGAAGTCCAGGACGCTGCTCAGAATATGCCCCCAGCAATTCCGATGGAGGCAGTCAGAGAGCTCCTCCTCCGTCTGGACTGTCACAAGTCCATGGGACCGGATGGGCTGCACCCTCGGGTGCTGAGGGAGCTGGCGGGGGTGATTGCCGAGCCGCTCTCGGCCATCTATCAGCGCTCCTGGTTAACTGGTGAGGTCCCAGAGGATTGGAGGCTTGCTGATGTGACTCCCATCTTCAAGAAGGGCTGTAAGGAGGATCTGGGGAACTATAGGCCTGTCAGCCTGACCTCGGTACCAAGGCAGGTTATGGAGTAAATCATCTTGGATGAGATTGCACGCCATGTGCGCGGTGTCCAGGGGATCAGGCCCAGCCAGCACGGGTTCGTGAAAGGCAGGTCATGTCTGACCAACCTCATCTCCTTCTATGACAGTTTGCAGTTGATACTAAGCTGGGAGGTGGTGTCGATCTGCCTGAGGGTAGGGCGGCCCTTCAGAGGGATTTAGACAGGCTGGACCGCTGGGCTGAGGTGAATGGGATGAGGTTCAACAAGGCCAAGTGCCAGGTCCTGCACTTTGGGCACAACAACCCCATGCAGCGTTACAGGCTTGGGGATGAGTGGCTGGATGAGTGTGAAGAAGAGAAGGACCTGGGGGTGTTGGTTGATGCTCAGCTGAACATGAGCCGACAGTGTGCCCAGGTGACCAAGAGGGCCAACGGCATCCTGGCCTGCATTAGAAATAGTGTGGCCAGCAGGAGCAGGGAGGTGATCATCCCCCTCTACTCAGCACTGGTGAGGCCGCACCTCGAGTGCTGTGTTCAGTTTTGGGCTCCTCACTACAGGAAAGACACTGAGGCCCTGGAATGTGTCCAGAGAAGGGCAACGAAATTGGTGAGGGGTCTGGAGCACAAGTCTTATGAGGAGCGGCTGAGGGAGCTGGGATTGTTCAGTCTGGAGAAGAGGAGGCTCAGGGGAGACCTCATTGCTCTCTACAACCTCCTGAAGGGAGGTTGTGGTGAAGAGGGGTTTGGCCTCTTCTCCCAGGCAACAAGCAGGACACGGGGTAATGGCAGCAAGTTGTAACAGAGAAGGTTTAGATTAGACATAAGAAAGAACTATTTGTCTCAGAGAGTGGTCAGGCACTGGAATGGCTGCCCAGAGAAGTGGTGGAGTCGCCATCCCTGGCAGTGTTCAAGAGGCATCTGGATGACATGCTGTGTGATATGGTTTAGTGCTTGTGGTGGCAATGGTGATGAGGTTGGACTAGATGATCTTATAGGTCGTTTCCAACCTTGTGATTCCATGATTCTATCATTCTATGATCGCATTTGGAAAAAACCTCTAAGATCACCTAGTCCAACTGTCCACCTACCACCAATATTGCTCACTGACCACATCCCTCAGTGTCACATTCACATGGTTCTTGAACATCTCCAGGGATGGTGACTCCCCCACCTCCCTATGTAGCCTGTGCCAGTGCCTCACCACTCTTTCTGAGAATGTTTCCTCATCTCCAACCTGAACCTCTCTGTGTACAACTTGAGGCCATTCCCTCTTATGCTGTCATCTTATTGTCTTATATTGCAGCCAGCAATTGCACTTACTGCAGCAGAGGGCATATGGCTACAAAACATTCAACCAGGATTCTCACTCACAGAGGTGTGCTGTCAGCTTGGGGTGCAGACAGGCAGCGGGCACAGAGCCACCTGGCCAGGAGATGGCCCAGCAGTCCCAGGAGCAGAAGGCTGCCCAGTGTGGTGACAAATGGCACGTACCATGCTGAGTCCAAGTAGAGGTTCTCCTTCTTCGTCACCACTGTAAAGCCAGGCTATTAAAACAAGATAGGAAATGTTTCTCAGTGCTGCATTCCTGTACAGCACTATTCCTCTGGCTGAACTTCTGCACCCAGACACCTGGCCCAAGGTGCCCCAGGGCTCTGCTCATGATCTGCAGAGGCAGATAGCATCTGTTGGAGATGGTGATTCATCCCACGTACCTCTCTGTGAAGACCAAGATGAGCCATAAGCTCAAGGGGTAACCGCAGGCACTGAAACAGAGCCCACCCACCTCGCTGCTTCCAGATTGTGTTTCAATGTCTTATATTAAAATAGGCATGCCATGATGGGGCTGGAAAGCCTCAGATTGCCTGAGAAGATGTAAGCATGCTGTTGGAGGGTTTGGAAGTTCAGGGAATACTGCCATTATCAAGATAATGGTATCTCGTTACCTAAGGCGAAACTGGAATTAGGTCATCTTCACTGCAGTGATCATTCAGCCCCCTTTGTAAAAAGAACCCTGAGGAGTTGTGTTGTTGTATAAAAATAAGTGAAACTTCTTCTTTTCCTTGCTCCAGAAGGGAAAATCACGTTTCCTGAGCACCTGCAATCTGCCACATCCTCCATGCACACAGCTCTGAGCTGGCATCTCTCTTGGTGCTAACAGCTCATTCACTGCGGTCCCGCCATGATACTATCCCTATACAGATCAGAAATTGCTTGTTTGTTCTACGGGGTTAATACATGGTATGGTTCTATTCATTCTGATAATCTACTGAAGTTTTTATTAAATCTTCTGTAAGACATTTGTAATCACATTGTGTATGAAATTTAGTGGGATATCTATTTGCTTTCCATCTAAGGACACCTTTCAAAAAATGGCACACGGCTGAACTGGGTAATATCTGTAACTATTAAAAGGAAGTGTTTAAAATGAAGAGGTGTCAGTGTCTGCTGTCAGCCAACAGGGCTGAGCACACCAAATTTTTAAAGAAACTAACAAATAATCTCAAACCATCACCACTGCAGCCTCGCTGGGATAGAAGTACCAAGTGACTTTGTGATAGGGTTTCCCACCACTGTGCTACCAGCCTTCCATCACCAGACTCATTTGGCTGTTGCCTGAACGCAGGTAACAAGTGGTGATGGGAGAAGGTGCTGTAATGGAAGTGCTCTTCTGGAAAACAGTCTGTAAGTGGAAGGCTGGTATCTCTGGGGAGGCAGATTTAATGTTGTGGTATGTGGGCTAGACTGTTTGCAGTTGTGGTAAGGCATGGGAGAAGAAACACAGAAGTTTTGTTATTCAGCTTAACCTGTTTCCATGTCAAGTAATGGGGAGGAGAAGGCTGTGAGGAAACCATATATTCCTTCCCAGCAGAGCAGTAGATAATAATTAATCAATCTACAAATTTGAATTTAAGCATTTCCATAGCAAAGCTTCCAGATTTGTACATGCTGCTTGGAGCACCCTCTGATTCTGTCAGATTTGGACAGTTTCACAATGAATAGCTCTTTTACACTTTCAGTATCCTCATATTCTCATTCCTGCATGCAGTGGAGAAAACACTAATGATGTCAGCAGGCAGGCACAAAATGGATGAACACTGGATGATGGCAAGATGGCATGGCAAGGGATGAAAGCAGTAATCAGCACAAAGATGAGGACAGACTGGTCTGTGTCCCTCCAACTGCACTTTTGCGGCAGGCAGGAGGAAAGCAAGAGCTGCTCATATCCTGCACCAGCCTGGTGGAAGAAGCAAAATCAGTGAGCCAGAGCTTCCCTGGGATGGATGTGACAAGGAGCAGGTTGTATCATGGGCATGCTGGTCTGGGTGTAAGGCCAGAATGCCAGCCATGGATCATTATGGGGCCCAGGAGCTCGGGAGACATCCACCTGCCTGGTTCTCCCTTCTGAAACATGCTGAGGACTCAGAACATGCTGAGGATCTGCACAACTGCTTCAGTTCCTGACAGGCAGCTTGAACTTTTACCTGAAGGTGACTTCTGGGTGGAAAAGTTTCCCTTGTAAATGATAAGGATTTCTTGTTATTATAGTCTTTGCCTATTTTGGCTTTGGTAGGCACATTACAGAGTAATGCATACCACTGCTAAAGAAGCACACAGAAGTAAACGATGCTGGAGTAGAAAACAGCTTTAAACAAAAGTAGTGCATGAGGTAATTTTAAGGTTAACCCCTACCCTATCCTTATTAACAAAGCTGTCAAAATCTTTAACTTTCCAGTTACGTGATAATGGCAGAGTGCCTGGTCTTTTTTTTTGTAATTCTTTTTCTTTTTAGAGACTACAATACAAAACACATTATAAATGTGTAACTGAAGCCAATCCCCCATGACACCAGGCAAATCAATGAACACTGGCTTCAGTGCAAGAACACAAAGCTCAGTGCTTCCTAAACCTGGACCCATGGTAGGCTTTTGCTTTCCTTTTGCATACATCTACCTTCTTTTCTTGAGTCTTATGCAGATTAGCCCATGAAAGAACTGCAGGGTAGTCATAATTTTCAGTGAACTTACCGTCGTGGTAGTGACAGTTGTTGGGTTTGGGATAACTCTGATGCTTAAAGTCACTGTTCCAGTTTTAACTAGGTGTGTAGCCTTGTTCTTGACAGATAGTAAATTGTCATCTGTTATGTAGACACGCAGTCTGTAAATCCATTTTGTATCAAGCCCACTCTCATAGTCAAAGGGAGATGCAAGAATCAGCTGAGACGTGTTGGAGCCAGCCATTGGTGAAAAGGTGAAATGATTGTTCACATTGCCTGCAAGTCACAGTAATGAACGAAAAACAAACAAATCATCAAAAAAAGAAGAAAAGTGAAGAAAAATCCCACATTAAAATAAACACATGGAGCAAATTAAAAGATTGGTTTCTATTGACAACCTTCGATGGATCACTTAATGCCCGTGTAGTCATATGGCTCCTTGATCTACTTGATAACATTTAAAATCATTTAAGTAAATCATCATAAAATCATGAAGTAAGACTGTCTATGAAGATTCAGCTGAGGCAAGGCTGTAAAAACTCCTCAGTGCCATCAAGGATATGAGAGGAGACTCTCAGCTCATCTGAATGATTTTTTCTTGTAGCCTGGAGTGCACCCTAAAGCAGCAGAGCCCAGTCTGGGTGATGTACGCCAATCTGCTGCTCATCATATTGGGGTATTGAATAGCGAGAGAATGGACCAGGCGGAGCGGGGGACCGATTCGCTCGGGCGCTGGTCTGAGGGCTGTCAGGTCACTGCAGGCCGGGCGGACCGTAACCTAAGTGGCCGTGAGATCGGCGACAGGGTGAGAACCCTTGTATGTCGCAGTCCCACTGCTGAGGTGGCTCTGCAATGGCCCCTTGGCCACATGGGCACCACCTGCATCTCATAGGTCCCTCCACTCCCTTCCCACCACTTGTTTCTCTGCGCAGAGCACACCGCACGGCCATTGATTGGCTCCCTCTGATGACAGCTTATGACTCAGAGCGGCTAATTTCCACCGAGGCTTCACTCCCTCTGTGAGTTGCTGCAGGAGGCAGAGAAGGGAGATTGATGTGTCTGGCCTTTCATCTCTTAATTCTCTGTTCAGGTTACTGGAGATCTGCTGGTGACCTGTGCAGTCTTTGGACTGACCAGAGCCAAAAGAAATCAAAGCCATAGAAAGGTAGCAGAAGTACCTTGGGTCTGCTTATTTTGCCTTGTAGAGCTCCAGAGTTGAGGTGATTTTGAAGGACACATCTACTGTGCAACAAATAATGACGCCATGAACAGCTCTCTGGCTCAAAGACCAACTGCACAGCACAGATCACGTCTCTATAACCAAACCTCAAGGCCTGCACTCTAGAGGGCCCCTACACACTGCACCCAGCAAGGTCCTGGGCTCTGCAGCGATGCCCAGGATTTCTCTGAGGCTGTACTTCTTGGCACAGACCAAAATCATGCCAGCAACTACAATTAAATTTTCAGCAGTGTAAGTCAATAACCTCAGCTACAAAATCAGCAACAGCAAAATAAATTCACCCAAGAGAGAGTATTCCCTTTTATTGTGAAGCTGAATACCAATCCACACTCTTCTTCAAATGGATGCAATTGATTAATAGGTTCAATCATTCTTTCTAATAACAGGGTTTTAGTACATGCAGCATGGAACTAGACCATGCAGGTTTGATCAATTATTTTGAACCACGTGCCATTATCTAAGTGAAAGCTACACAGGGTAACAGAAATCACCTTCATTTCTCAAGATTTACTCAACTTTAATTGCAAGTGAAATTTAACCATTAAGATATATCCCTCATTCTACTGAAGTCCTTGTCAATAATGCAGTTAATTGTGGTTAATTAATGTGGTAGGCAATCCAAATGTGCAATGGCATCATTCTAGATGGCAGCAAACTTATAGAGTCATCTCTTTACAAAAGCAGCAAAATAATGATGCGTGAAGCTTGAGGATCACAATTAGCTCTCCATAAGAAGCAGCATACAAACTGTGCTAGATTTTTATTTACAAATCAAATTGAACCATCAATATTCAAGCACTTTTGCACTGTTTTCAGTTCACAGTTCACACACTGTGACACAATACCTTCAATGAAGTAACGGAAAGACCTGGGATCAGAATCACGATCTTGACATTGAATCCTGAAGCCATTGACATTGGTCCCAACTGCTAAACTGACTGGGATTTGAAATGAATAGAAATTTGGTGAACAAATGGGTTCTTCATCATTTACTTCCAAAACATTGACAGTTACCTGAAAGGAAAGAATAATAAAAACTGAAGGTCTTCATCTGTATTGGGTCAGAATTTTACTAACTTCAAAAACTATTTGGCTTTGCCAGTTTTGCTCTTTAAATCAGCAGCAGTTGAAGAGAAATGAACCTCTCTTCCAAACTAGATTCAACCAGAAAACATAAATGTTCCTTAGACCTTTACTTCTTTTTGTGACCAGTACTCTTTTGGGAACAGGTTCCTTAACTTGAATCATATTTCAAAACCACGGGGATTTCAATCTGATCTGTCTGTCTAGTTGAATTACCTGAGGTGTGTTATAGTAGAAATGATAAATATTTCCAGGTATTCATTAAACTTTCTTTCCAGTGTCTCAAATTGCTTCACAATTATTGCTTAGGCTTCTCAGTACAATTTGGTAATAATTCAGGGCAAGATCCATGGAAGGGATGAAGATTCCTTATAGACCAACCAGACTGAAAGAGAAATGCTGGTAATGGCCTTCTGCATGTCTGGAAGCACCCTTGTTACACCAGATCTTTTTAATGTCAGCTGGTGTTATCTGGTTGAGAGAAAAAGCTTACTACTCTCTAAGCTCTGTCCTTTTGTGTTTGTTGGATTTTAATATATAACAGATAAACCTGTCACGATTACAAGTTCCTGATGCTAAGTTTTCCTTAATGATTGCCTTGAAATATAACAGGTAATAAAGAGATTAAGTACCTCCTTCCTAGTGTCTCCATGGGCAGTACTTGGCTGGAATAGGAAGCAGGCCTAGAACCCATCCACCTCCCACCAGATGTGAAAAAACAAAATATAAGGTCATGACAGAGGATGCTCAAAGTATTCTTGTCAAGAAGAGAGACAAGGAGGAGAAGTAGAGTGGGTTTACTCACAGATGCTGTTGCAGTCCTCTCTTGGTCTGAGGCTTGCACTGTGAAAAAGTGTTTCTGGGTTGTTTCATAGTCTAATCTTTCTAAAATCTTCACATCTCCATTAATTGGGCTGATCCAGAATGCATTTGTGTAATCCCTGGTCCCTCCTCCAGCTATAATGGAATAAGTGATGACACTGGGTGGCCAGTCTGCATCGCTGGCAGTCACTTTTCCAATAGTGGATCCAACTAAGAAGAAGATAATCCATATTTCATTAACATTTTAAACTTAGAGGAGAAGGAATTACAGAATACTCTTTCCTGCCAAAGCTTGATAAAAGTGTAACTACATATCTGCTCTAGAATTTTTCACCCCAAAGAAGTAAAACAAAGGCATGAGAAACACTGGTTTACCATATTGGGTCTGGCTCCCCATGTATGTGTCTGCTAACAGTGAATACCACAATGCAAGGAATCCATAGAGAACAACAGCAGAAATTCTCTGGTGGCAAGGGCTACCCCATAGCCTGGCACCAACACACACTAATTATTTCCAGTGTCCAAGCACTGGCTTGAGTTGGAGGAATAACTTAAGAAAAAATTGTTGCTCTTCTCTCTGGAGAGTTTGAAACAGCAGTTATGGAGCTCAGCACAGACAAATGCAAATCCTGCTTCTGGATTAGGGTTTAAGGTCACATTTGCAGCAATTGTCCCTGGACTGTGACAGAAATGGGAAAAAGTCTGGCTCCAGCCTGAGGAGCTACACTGCCTGTTGGAGCACACACTTCCCATCCAAGCACCCCTATCCCACTGTGCCTCCTCGGTGAGCTAGGCCTAAAGGGATGGTGGGGTGACAGTTGAACACCATGCCTGGGCCAAGGGAGTCCTCTCTCATCTGTACCATGGTCTACATGTACAGTGTACAATGGTTTCTTTGCACTACCGCAGTCCTTTCAAAATGCTAATTTAGCAAGAGCAGAAAGACAATCTCAAACAAGAAATCTGAGTTCAGTTCTCGGCTCTGTCCCAGATTTTTTCTATAACTGCTGAATTTGTCTGTCTCGATTTCTATCTGTACAACTGGAGTTCTTGCCAGTTTTGTCTATTTAGGGGTACTAGGCAATTGTACAGGACCCCAGCTGAACAGGAGCTTTGAGCAATTCTCCTCATTCAAATAAATGAAAACATGTTTGGAGAAAAGTGTATTTGTCAGCATGACAATGCTGCTCCTATCATGTAAGTGCTACTTACTGTACCTTTAGTAATTTCTGGAACATAAAATTCATATGATGGACTACTGAAGACTGGAAAAAATTCATTCACTGGCTTTATCCTGATATAAATGTAAATGGTATCTGGAAATATAACACAGATGAAATCATAGTTAAGTATGGCTGTGAAATTTTCTCATGCATATATTCAAAATACATATGGTACTCCTCTCTCCATGCTGTTGCAGCACAGAAAAATATTTTTAAAAATGTGTAAAGAGGATACTTGCTTGAGTAGTTAGGAGAGGCGATATCTTGCACCCTGACAGTCAAAGAATAAACCTCAACTCCTGGATTAGATGGATTTTCTAAATCAATACTTTCAGTCATCTAAATTAAAAAGAAACACAATTGTATTTATACTCTCTTACATGAAGTCACAGCACTCATGATGGTGATCAGTTTTCTCAGCATGCTGTAGATGTGGTCTCCCTCTTGAATACCCAGAATAGTCCCGTAGGAGTAATATAGGCTATAAATCAATTACAGGATTGAATTTCAGGCTTATCCTTCATGTTCATGGTTTGGGGTCCCTTGGCAATTCAAAACACTTTCCTTCTGCCTGTCTTCCCCTTTAGTGCAGGAACTTGTATCATTTGAGCACAGGGTCTTTGCCTTTTACCTGCTTAGTTCCAAGTGCACGTAATGAGCTGGCTATTTACCATGCCCTTTGTTGGCTCAACACGGGCCTGTGATTGCTAAATAGCAATAGTTACTCCTTGAGCTCAGGTGTGCAGACCTATATTAAAGGTATCAGGTTCAGCCACAACTGTTTATCCAGGAACCAAATGGCTACTAAACAGTGGCTCATATAGAGCTTTAAATCCTAATCTCCTGAACTCTCTCTCTGCAAGAGCCTCATAAATTCTGGGGCAGTGAGATTAAAGCACAGGCATCCACTGCTTTTTGTCTATAGGAAAACTCCTGGAGAGATGGGACGCTTCAGATAGCCTATTACATTACACAAGCACAGTGATCAAAGAGATGACAACAATTGTATCCTGTGCAGCACTGAAAATGTCTTGTGTGCTGGCAGATGAAGCAGCTAAGGATGGTGGTCATTCACATACATGCTTCTAAGAAAAAAACAGCGTTAGTCATACAAAATCATTTTACTGCACCTATCACATATTTGTCTTTTAGGCAGAATGCCTGTGCTCTCTCTACAGTTCGTGGGGTTTCTTTTTTCTGTATTTGTCTGTGGTTCTTTTTAAAGCAGCAAAGCAACCGTCACTGCACATGTCCAGCAGCTGGTGGGGATTCTGGCAAATGCAAATTTTACAGTAGCTATTAGCATAAGGAAGTCATATTTTGACACGTCAAATCACACAAAGTACAAATCCCACCACACTTTTGTGAATATTTACCACATTTACCATATTGCAGTCCTTCACATTGGAGAGAAAGATCTTCCATGATCTATCGTGAATAAATAGGTATGAGATGGTATCAGATTGCTTTGCTTAACCATTTCAAAGTTGGTGCTTCACATGCCCTAAAAAACTCTTTTTTTTCAGTCCTATCTAGCACTTTGATTTAAAACAGCCCTCTGTCTTCCAAACTCTGTAGGATCCATAGAAACCGTCCTATTAACCTGTAGCTTACATCTAATCAAATCATTCTCACCAACTCACTCTGTTGCAACATGAATTACAGTAATTCCTTTTTATTGTATAGGCAAAAACTCCAAAGTAAGAAATGTCCTTTGTGAAAACTCTTAAGATGCTTTCTACAGTGAGTCCACTTGACATAAAGCTACAAATGACTGACCACAAGTCTTCCGGACTCAGCAGACTCCAGAGCAAAGTTGTTGCTTCCAAAACCAGATAATCCAGTGAAACTAAATAGATTGTTTGGTGGATCAACATCAATATCTTTACAGCTGTTTCTGAGATCAAGAAGAACTATCCCAGCAGTAGTATTTTCATGTATTTCTTTCCTGTTTAAAAGAAACATGTTTCCCATCAGAGCTCCTTATATTTCTCCTCTTGAATTCTTCATATAGTCCATGCCAAAACATCGACGTACTTCCATTTATTTTCTAAATGAAATCCTAGATCTAAATAGACAACAGCTGATGAAGCAATCTAGAATCTGAACCATATGCTGTGGTGGATAACAGCCCCATGTAATGAGCAGCACACAGACCCAAAACCAAGACCTTGAAAATCCACTGAACTACAGAAGGCACCATGAGATTTTAATGCTCAAGATTATTTCAGTTCCTAATTTGTATTTCAAAACATCTTTACAACACTCATTTTTTCATTACATTATAATGTTTTCCTGATGAGAAGTTCATTCTTTTCTCCTTAACTAATACCTGGATCATTCTGCTGCCTTGTAAAGCTAGTGTTTCTGGCCCTGCTGTTGACAGTGATGGTCTCAGTGACGCATGTGATGGAACTGGTAATAGAGGGTGCCGATCTTATCTTAATCAAGAAAGTAAGACATAAAAGAATAAAGAACTAACTGAAATGCCATTATGCCCTGATGTTCCCTTGTACAATCCCTATATACAGTCTTTCATTTCTCCCCTGAAGACTTTTGCCTCATTCAGATGAAAGTTTGAGCTCAATGGACCACAGAGACTGTTGTGCTGTCATCATGGACATTGTAACCAAGCAGTGCTCTGAAGAATTGGATTCTTTTCCTGCTAGTCCATAAAACTACATGATTTAAACGCAAGACATTTATCTTAGCTAGTGAGCAAACAATTTAAACAGACACCCACTAACCAGGAATATCTCACTGCAGAGGCCTTGGCATGAGATGCTGGATCTTTATTTGCAGAACAGTCCATCTTTGGACTGGACAGTCCAGTACTTTGGGAACTACCCTATGCAGTGCTGTGCCCCCTACAGCATGGGACATCCAGCACTTCAGATGGACAATTTTGACCTCAGTCTTTCTGTGAAATTGAGATAATGTCATATCCTCATCTACAAACATAAGCCAGCCGATCATCATAGAATCATAGATTCTTCAATGTTGGAAAACACCTTTAAAATCATCTAGTCCAGCCACCAACCCATCCCCACCACGTCCACTAACTACACCCCTCAGTGCCACATCTCCATGGTTCTTGAAAAGCTCACAAAGGTCTCAGAGAGTTCAGAGCCATGGCAAAGTCCATGACTAGTTTACTTTGCACAGACATATATGACAAGAGGCTCTGAGATCTGAGGACCCTAAGCAATGTGCCCTACACTGGGCACTGGGCTGTGGCAACAAGGCAGTACTAAGGCAATCAGAGCATCAGTACCTGAAGGTGGAGGGATTGCATTCTGGTGGGTTGTCATTGATGTCTCCAACGATGACTGTGATCTCCATTTCACTGAAGTGCCCTACACGAGGGCTGTCCTCCACCCGGATTATCATGGAGACATTGGGATGGAGCTGCAGGGGAAGGACATCGCGGTCGATTCTCCCGGATACCTGCAGCACTCCAGTTGCTGGGGAAAAGCAGCCAGCAGTTAGATGCTCACCCTCAGGGGAGGCAGTAAACACTCGTGGCGTACTTGTGGGAGGACGGGGTAGCTCAGCAGACAGGTAGCAAGCTGAAGTCTTTTGTTCTCCAGAAATTATGACTGGTTTAACTACTTTTTAAAATGATACAAAATGGCTTTGATAGCTCTGCGTAAGCCTTTCATAGATAAATACCCACTGCTCAAAAATACACCAGTGGCAACCTCAGCAGAGGGCTTGAAAAGCACTTAGATTTCATTACACTCTCAAGGAAATGGTGCAAGTCAGAGCTGAGTGCACTCACCAAGCAGCAAGCACAATGAGCAGGCCATGCTGTCCTTGTTCTCTAACTAGTGAGATGGCTTAACTTTCTGCTGTTGTATTTCAAGCACACTTCACCATATCTAAATCTACTCATATATCAAAAGATCTGCTCTCGGCTTGTGTCAAGTGCTCTGATCAGCCATTCAATTAATTACTTTTTCAATTCTGTTAGCCTCTATCCAAAAAAGAGAAGATTGTTCTGGCAGAACACAATACTGTTGCCAGAGTCCTGAGGAGATAAAGGAACAGTTTGTATATCCTCTACCTTTTGGAGTGTAATTGAGAGGGATAGTAGCAATGCACAGCCAAAGGGCACAGGGAATCTAAAGCATGTGAGGATAATCTTGATGTCCCACAGCCGGGTGCCATATTCTACCACTGTGATAAACATCTTTAAAACAATAGCAGATGAGGGACAGAGCTGAATTACAGCTCTAGGAGCAAAATCCTCAGGACAGACATGGGTGCATCCCAGAGAGCATGGGGACTTGGGACCAGCACACAGGAGATGACTCTTTAGAATGGCCTCACCTGAATAGGGGCATGAATAAAGCCATGAAGCTGAGCAGCAGATTTTGTGCATCACAGTGCTAGAACAGATTTCATGTAGGAGAGAGTAAGCTGTGGTCCAAGTACTTGCAGCCATTGCAAGAGCCCCAGAAAAGTCACTACAACTGTTCGAGAAAAAGGCAGCTGATTCAACTTCCACTTAAGGAATCATCAATCTCCAGCCATAAAAAAACATTTGTCAATAAATCACCTTTGGTATACTTTCTTTAATATATTTTACTTAATTTTATTCAGCTGATGGAAGAACTTGGCCCTAAAAACATGCTGAGAATTTCTTTTTTATAGGGAGAGACACTAAAGAAAGTCAGAAACAATCAGGCAAAAACATCTTCTGTGTGGCCACTCTCTTTTTTGAGAGAGTCAGAAAGTATGTTTTTGTTTGTCTTACATGGATTTATGGAGAAATATGTGTCAGAAGACTGGATGCTGTAGAAAAGTCTGCTAGGAGAGTCTTCATCATCAGGATCTTTAGCTGTTATATTGGCAACAACAGTTCCTGGGCTTTGTTCCTCAGGAATCCTGTAGATTCTTTGTTTTCTACAAAAGAAAGCAATGTTCATTCAGCAAAAGGCCTGCCTGTGTTTGCAAGAGCAGCTGAGCACAGACTTAGCTGAGCAACCAATTGTAGAGGTAAAGCATTCGGCCATGCTGGGCTTGGAGTTGTCACAGTCAATATCCCAGTCAGTGGTTCTGCCAGCTGGACGGCAGCAGCAGCTGAGCTGCGATGTGCGCATTAAGCATGACAGAGCTGCAAAAATAACTGTCCTTCCCTTTCTCTGCAACTTTTTCATAGTGACTGCAATTTGACTTTCACGGAATTGTGGAAACTGAAGATGGACAGGGCTGTTCAGTCAAGCAGTCTGTCTCCTTGCAGAACCAACCTGTCATTTCCTGTAAATTCTGTTATTTTCCAGGAGAAAAACAAAAATAGAAGCAGTAACAGTTATATTTTGGAGTGAATGCTGGAGGCATATGGGGTGCAACAGCATTACTAAAAAGCATGAGCTGCTCCTCAGGTAGAGGCAATAAAGAACATTCCTGTGGGTGCCCTGCTGATGTCCCCGTGATGTTGCTCCAATTTCCCAACGTCTGTCTGATTCATTTTAAATACAGATGCTGTTTGTCATGCCAGTGCTCCCAGATTTCCCATGTAGTGAGTTTTGTGGCTCAGATATGGTCTGGCAGACAATTGTGTAGGATTGTTTATAATGGTTGCAACTGAGTGTGCGCATAGGCACTAAAGTATGCACTTACGGTACTTGACCCATGTGCTAAAACAGGTATGGACAAGCATACGAAAACTGTGCAGACTATGTGAAAGGTGGTTTATTCTCCTGAAGTGCACAAACACAAAACATCTACTTCTAAAAGTCAAAGGAAGTTGAAGATGCTGAATGGTTCAAAGAAGCATTAGGTACACCTTTCAAGACAGAAGCTTTTTTGTGCATTTCAAACTGTGCCACCACAAACAGACTAGTGCATAGTTCCTAGTTCAGGAAGACATGAGCCCTATGCCCCAGAGAGGAATCACAACTCTGACCTCTCTCTGCAGCTCTATCTTCACAGCCCCGCCAGCCTTACATGTACCATTGCCTTGTCGCCACCAGACAGATCTCTCAGGAAGGAGTGGGCCATTCTCAAGAAATGCCTATTACACCGAAGGCTCATACAGCTGGGCAGGAGCTGGAGCCATCTCCTACACAGCCATGTCTGGGCTGTGTCCTGTTGTCAGAAGACCCACCACTTGCCAGTCGTATTTTACAACACAGTTCAAGCAGAGCTTTCAGACACTGCAATATAATTGCGAAGAAAGCACGTATTTGTTTTCTTGCTCTCTGTTTTCTTAACTCCACAAGTTTTCCACTGATTTTAGCAGCCAGAATTTCAAAAGGGTGAATGCTGATGCAGTGTTGTGAACACCAAAAACAGATGTGCCTGCATATACCACGGGAACAATTAGAAAGACCCTTTGAAACTCTGCTCTTGACAGCTTTGATCAGGAGAAAATAAAGAAGGTTTGCTAACTTGTCAAGTTTCCCAACTCCCATCTCAGCACTAATTATTATAGTGTCAGAAAACACATAGTCCCAGCATGCAGCTCACATTTTAGCAGGGTGAGGGCATGCATGTGCGTAGTGAGGACAGCTCACAGAGTAATTTAATTTCAAGCTCTTTACAAACTCAGCTTCTATTTTCGGTCCCTCTAAGAGGGAAAAGATTCAAACAAATACCATGCCTTATTTGTGTCATACAACAACTGAGTCTTAGACATTAGGTGTTATGGATACTCCACTCACCGTCTTGAACAACTAGATAAATATTTAAAAGAGCTCCTTCGGCATTCCAGACATAAAGATAAATAAACAGAAATGGCAACATTTGGATGAAATAATCAGTCTAGAACACAATGTGCAAACGTTGGCACTGGCAAGTGGATTCCTGCTGCTTATAAAGCACTCTGGATAGAGCTGTTAACCTTTTTGGTTACTTCGTACCTGAAGTTCAAGTAACAACAAAAATACCCATATCTTTCTCTAATATTTCATTCTTCCATTTCTCCAGGTTCTTTATCGCTCTGCCAGCAAGGTCTGGATCCTTGACCTCAACCTACACAGCACCCAGAGAACTGCTCCAAACCAATGCCCAGTGACTTCTTGGCGTGGTCCAGGTGCTACATGGACTTAGAACCATAAACACTGGAAAAGACCTCTAAGATCATCCAGTCCAACTGTCCAACTACCACCAACATTGCTCACCAAACTATGTCCTTGAGTACCACATCTACACATTTCTTGAACACCTTCAGGGATGGTGATTCCATCGCCTCCATGCCTGTTCCAACTCCTCACCACTCTTTCTGAGAAGAAATGTTTTCTAATGGCCAACTTGGACATCCTTTAGCTCAACTTGAGGCCGTTCCCTCTTGCCCTATCACTGTTACCTGAAAGAAGAGGCCGACCTCCCTTGTCACAGCCTCCTTTCAGGCAGTTGTAGAGAACAATAAGGCCTCCCCTGAGCCTCCTCTTCTCTAGACCAAACCATCCCAGATCCCTCAGCCACTCCCCATCAGACTTGTATACCAGACACTTCACATCCCTATTGACCTTCTCTGGACATGCTTCAGAGCCTCAATGTCTTTCTTGTAGTGAGGGGCCCAAAACTGAACACAACACTTGAGGTGCGGCCTCACCAGAGCTGAGTACACCCACCTCCCTGTCCAGCTGACTACGCGATTTCTGAAACAAGCTGGGCTGGCACTAGCCTTCTTGGTCACCTGAACACACTGCTGGCTCATGTTCAGTCAAGCGACAGTCAACACACCCAGATCCTTCTCCTCCATGCAGATTTTCAGCCACTCTGCCCCAGCCAAGCCTGTAGCAGTGCATGCAGTTGTTGTGATCAAAATGCAGAACTTGGCACTTGGTCTTGTTGTAGCTCATACAATCAGCCTCAGCCTAGTGATTCAGCCTGCCCAGATCTCTCCGTAGGGCCTTCCTACCACGCATAGATTGTCGCTTCCTCCCAGCTTAGTGTCATCTGCAAACTTACTGATGGTGCTCTCAATTCCCTCATCCAAATAATCAGTAAAATACAGAACAGGCCCCAGTACCAACCCCTGGGGAACATCACTCGCGACCAGTCACCAACTGGATTTGACTCCATTTTACTCCCTGGGCCCAGCCTGCAGCCAGCTCTTTGCCCAGCAAAGAGTGTAGCTGTCCAAGCCTCGGGCTGCCAGCTCTTTGCATAGGTGGCAGGTGAGATCTCACCATAAATACTCCCGCTGGGGACCTTCTACAGCCTCAGGATCAGAAGACATAAAGAGAACATCTAGAATCTAATTAGTGTCTCACACAGAACAACAGAGATAAATCAACTGCAGAATCAGACTAATTCTGTAAGAACTGTGCTTGTCAACTTCCTGATTCAGAAACCATTTGTTCACTGTGCTTCCCACCACAAAAAATAGCCCCCTGGTAGCACATAGCTATTCTTTTCTATTTCTCAAATTTTCAACAACGTTCTTTATTTCAACTAAAGCTCCATTTATTTTCAAAAGCTATTTCTGACTTCTGTGTTATGATACCACAATTTCCTGCTTATGACAGAGACAGGAATGGCAATGTTTCAAAGAGGACTAAGGTCGTTACAAGTGTGTGTGGCTGAGGAGAAGAGGAAAAGACAGATCAAAAGTGAGACCTTCTTATGTCTAGACATTTCTGCATGAATAAACATTATTACAGAGAAACACACATCTGCATGAAGAGTTCTGTATGATTGTACTCACATGGGCTAGAACAGGCATTTGTCTAAACTTGTCTGAAGGTCTTTGCATAGCTTTGACCTCTACTTGCTAACAAGTACAACAAGCCTGTTTGGCTGCCCTTAGCGCCAGAGCAGAACCTGGAAAACTTAAAACTAATAAAAATACAAATAATAAAAAAGGGAAATGAAAGCAAATCTTTTCAGTAAAAGAATAGGAGACATAACAAAATGAAAACACTATTCTTGGTAGTACTGTGTTGCTGTATTAGTTTGCCCTCTGTGACAGCCTCCCGGTGGTGCCAAGGCAGTAAAGCTGGGAAAACATCTACATTCTCAGTACAATGGAAGTTTTTCACTCACGTGGTAAAGTAAGGACTTTCATCATTGATGTTAATTATATTTATATTCACTGTTCTAGTAGAGTTTAGTCCTTCTGGATCTGTCGCTGTTATATTTAAAAAATAGCTGTTAAATAAGAAAACAAAACAAGAATCACTCTTTGGCTACACAGAAAAGCATTGCCTACTGCAAGCACATGAATAAGAGAAATTCTCACCAGTGTGGATCCTTCTCGTAATCTATTTTTTTTCTTGAAAAAATGTCTCCATTTTCCAAGACCTGGAATGGCACTGATTCAGGGAGTGGTGAATACTGAAATGAAGAAGAGAATGAATTAGTTTCTGCATCATTTTGTTTGAGCATCCCTCTGGTCGTGCACTGCTTTGTATAAGGGCCGAGGCACAGCACAGTGTCTGACCCAGAACTGCATGATGAAGCACGGAAACACATAGATGCATTTCCCTCTTTGAGTCCAGCTCCTGAATGTGCTCGTTTATGTAACAACAGCCAACAGGACAGAGCTGCAAAACAATTCTTAGCTAATTGCTGCTACTTTTCTCCTTTCTGCAAACAAAGTTATCATTTCCCAGGGATTTTTGCTGATATCCAGAGTATTTTCCAATATGTTAATCCATTTGCTTAACTGAGGGTCACAGTGTGCCCCAGGATTGTCACAAAAATAAGATTCCATTGCCTTGTGACCAGTTTCCTTACTGTCTCATATGAAAGAATTTATATTGTGACATAGAAGATTAAAAACTATACATGCTTTCAGTCACTATAATCTACTAAAAATGTTCTGAAGCCAATTTTTGTTTTTAAATAAATGATTCCTGCTGTATCTCTGATTAACTGCATCAAATTCTGCCTTTAGTGCCCCTTAGTTTTGGAATGCTGAGAATTCAAAATACAATTTGTGTTCAAACATTGAGGCTGGATTTCCTCAATTTATTATTGACAACGCTTCAACCTTTTCCAGTGTTCCTGATGATGAAGTGTGTTGTTGGAAGAGGCAATTAGCACTTCAGATACAGCGGTTGATATAATTTCTGGGGTTTTTTTTCCTCAGCTTACTTTGAGTTCACCATTTTCAGGATCTGTTGCATTGACTCTGTAGATGAGTCCAGGAGGCATTCCTTCCAAGACATAGATCCTCACAGCTGCATGGATAGAAGTGCACACAGTGTTAATTGCACAATAATGAAGGGCACACTAGCAAGAAGACTGACATTCTGGAGCTGTCTGGGTGCATTACTGTCTGATGTGTGCTCTCACTTCACCAGCCCCTATCAAAATTCTCACAGGAATGAACACAAACACTCAAAAGACTAAAAGGAAAAAGTGTAGACATCCCTCACTGATAGTTGAGACAGACTGATCTGTAAATAAGGTCTTCCCTGAGCTGCTCAATGGGTATGGAGGACAACTGCATTTTGTAGATACATGTCTGTCTCAACCATGCAGATGGAGAGAACGTGATCTGTTCTCCATCCCCATCCCCTTCACACCCTCCCCTGCCCCCTGCCAGGAGACTTCAAAGCCTTTCCTCTTCATTTATACTTTTCCTTTACATCTGTGGAGTGAATACATGGTAGATGGCCTGTGCTTAATCTCCTGCCTTACTTAAAGTAAGGGGTATTCCTCCACAACTTTGCTGCCCCACACTCAGCCACCGGCAGCTGGCTCAGGCACAGTGATGAGTGGAACAACAGCTCCTTAGATCCCATTATTTGCTTTCTGCCCTTTGTGTCTGCTGAACCTGGCATTTCTGGACTATTAATTGCTGCTGTGACCCCTGCTGACTGCTGCTTCTCATCACGGCAGTGGGAACCCCAGAGCAGCGTAATGAGTTGTTCCCAGAGGACAACAATACAAATATAAGGTTTAATGAGAGGGAGATGCTTTTTAATAACCAACGAATGCGCAATTAGTATCTAATTGTGGCTGGTACTGTTAACTACAGCCATGCAGTTAGACAGATCAGACATCTGTGCTCACCAATTTATGGCAGCTCTAGCTGAGAGTTAAGCTGATGCACTTATTTGTAACAAGCTCTCACGTAGTATGTTTCATGCTGTGCCAATCCCCTGAAGTGTCACATTTAATTATTATTAGATTCCATCAGCACCCATGATACACAAGACAGCCTCAACACTGAGAAGATGACACAGCCTCTTCCCTCGGGGAAGCTAATTTGCCTTAGAAACTGAATGTTGTATGGAACGGAGCACCCACATGCTCATTGGCATTGGAGAAGCGGCTGTGCTGTGGCCGTGCTGTGCTGAGCTCAACCCTGGGGACAGCCCAGCAGAGCCCACACAGTCAGCTGCAGCCCGTGTAGCACTGCCATTCTGGGTCTGGGGGTTGGTCAGCCCTCCCAAACACCTACCGCGAGCAGATGAGTGTGATATTGTCATACTAAGAAAAAAAAAACAATGTAAGGAAGAAGTTTTTTACAATAAGGGCAGTGAGGCACTGGAACAGGTTGCTTAGAAAGGTGGTGGATGCCCCGTTCAGGGTCAAACTGGACAGGGCTCTGAGCACCTGATCTAGCTGTAGGTGTCCGTGTGCACTGCAGGGGAGTTGGACTAGATGGCCTTTACGGGTCTCTTCCAACTCAAATGATTCATTGATTCTACAATCAAATGTCCTTGTGCTATTGTGGATCCAGACACCCAGCCTCGTTGTTGATGCTGTTGCAGACTTTTCCTTTTTGCATTTTTGTGACCTTAAAGCAAACCTGGTTTCCTGTGTGTGCAAATTTTTGCACAGCCACAGCGTACACTTCTTTAAATTTATCTTCCCTCTCCAAATCTGTCCAATTTCAACAAACTACTGCAGCATGGATCCATACTGTGTAGGCTGCATCCCTATCAAACTTCGGGTTCACAATTCATATCTCTAGGACACTTCATCTCATTAAAAAGAAAAAAAACACCAAAAAACAAACAAACAAAAAGATAAAGCATGCAAATATAAATAAAGGAACATATAAAAAATAATATTGCTTTTATCTTTTTCCTTTTTTTTTCATTCTTCAAATATATTTAAATGTCTTAATCAATTTTAGTCAAATCTTCAAGAAAAATAAACGAGCATTTCTGGAGATGAAGCATGCCAAATATTTGTGTGAAATAAAGTTTTGATAGAAACATCATCCTGTTCCACCTTTGTTTTCCTATGGGAAAATGTTTGGACCACTTTAACTACAGGCATTGGGTGCTGTGAAATTATGTATCTGATGCCATCTTTTTGAGTGCTGCTCTTTTCAGATGCCACCATTATCTTACTTTGAATTGCCATATTTCCCCAAAACACAGGACGTTCATTCTTATCTGCTACTTGGACAGTTAGTGTGTTGAGGTCAGTCCTTCCAGCAGTATCTTCAACAAAAATCTGTAAATCAAAGCGCTTTGGCATAGTTTCATAATCTAGGATAGGGTTTCCTGTGGTAACAACCTGAAAATAAAAATCAATGTTATTAGCACATCATGCAAGAGATGTAAGTTACAGTCTATAGGAGTGAATCTAAGGAACATCAACAAGCAGTGAGCATTTTAGATAATCTTCCTCTTACTGACACAGCTCTTGCCAGTGCAAGAAATGTGAGGAAAAAAGGACAGGCAGACCAAAAAGTTGTGGCTTTGTGGAGCAATGCAAGGACTTATTGTGTGAGGGACAGTCTGGGGAGCAGAAAGCCCGGCAGGAACTGTCCTGCCCTGAAGGCAGAGTGTTGCCTTCATGACCACAAGCACATCTCCTTTGCAGAAAGGATCATGCAGCAGGAGTCTGTAGAGCCCAGCAGGAACAAGGCCCTTCCCTTTGCAAGTGGGTCTAGGAGAAGACTTGCAGGAAACCACAGGAAGGAATGAGCTGCAAGAGCACACCGCATGAAAGTGAGACCAGAGCTGCTTGGGGAAATTGAACTAATTAAAAATTAACACAGTCCTTATGTTTTGTAAGCCTGATAATGCAAATGTTTGATTTGTTGAGATTTTTTTGAAAGGCTTCCAGCTCTGCACATCACCCCTTAAAATAGAAGGTGATAATCAAATGGCTTGGCTTGGAAGGGAGCCTAAAGTCTACCAGTCCCTTCCTTGTGCTGGGGGCCCCAGGCCTGGACGTAGGCCTTGATCAGAGCAAGAGCAGGATGCTGAAAGTTGTATGCTACAATCATCACTGTGAAAGCTAATAAAGAAGCAAGAACTTTCCTTTCTTGGTACAAGAAAAAAAAAATGTAGCTGCTAACTTTGTGAATCTAGATGATCTCTTTTGAAGTTGCACTTGTGAAGAATGGCTTTGGACTGGTGCAGGCTTGAGTGGTTTACTTCGGTTCCAGGCAGGAGCAGCGCTATCTGACAAAGGCAGCATCCACACACCTGAAGCAGCTGCAGATACAGTGAGCAGCATCTTGAGTCACTCCATAACTGCCCACCCCTCACTCCACATGGAAGTCTCACTGCTCCTTGCTTTCCCCTTCAGTCCTGGGGAGCAGAGGGAGCATCACATCAAGATAGCTTTGAGCACAATATATTTTCATTCCCTCAGCACAGTGTTTACATCTCAATAATGAGGACATTCTCAGAAACCCCAAAGCATATCAAGAAGTGTGATATTGCCCAGGCTTGCTGCAAAAGGGCTTGGTTCACAAATACAGGAGAGCCTGTGCTAACAGATACTTACCTAAGCTGTAGGCCCCATACCTTATGTACAAATATTGCTTGTATCTTAGCAAAGATTTAGTGGCAGTAAGAAGAGCTGAGGAATCTCATTTTGGACCACATTACTCTTGAAAAATGTTGTACAAATCCGCTAAAAATAGTGTAAATAAATAAAAGTATCAAAATTCATCAAATAAATTAACTAAGGACACTCATGAGCATTTATCCTTGCCTTGTGGGTTGCCAGTCAACTGCTAACTTGCACAACTGGTATGTAGCTTTCTTTATGAGTTTCTCATGACTGATATTCACTGGCTCAAACACCTCATTCCAGTTCCTCAAGTGGGTTAGGTAACCCCAATACCAATTACTGTTCAGTCAAGTTATACAAAGTCCTCAGAGGCAATTTAAGTAATGGGACTGTGGTAAGAATGATGATGACAAGCTGGAACTTTGGAGCGACAGAGACTTTTAGCTATTTGCAAGGTCATTCTTCCTTCAGATTTGTCTTCCAGTCCCACTCCTCAAGAAGCACAGTGCTGCACAGCTTGTAGATGGCACAGGACAGGAATGAGCAGGCATAGGAAAGGACTATATTTTGCAGCAGAAGGGACAGCTTCAATTCAGAATGATACAATACAGCATAGGAAGTGAGAAACTTTCAAGAAACCTCCTCAGAAGAAAAGCGTAATAAATTATTTTTTAAGACTCTACTCAGTATGTATCTGTATCTTTTAAAGGTGCTCAAGAGCATCACTGTTGAGATTCAGACACACAAGTGGGCTGCAATGAGTTGACAAGCATCATGCCTCTGAACACTCATTGCCAGTGGCAAATGTGAGGCAATGCTTGCTAATTTATCCAGCAATGAAAGCTAGCTGGAGCCAATAGAAACTGTCTTGCATTTGACACAGAACAAGAGCACACAATCGATAGAAATAGATCAGGGATGTGTGGAAGTGTGATAACTTTGTACCTCCAAGTGACTTCCTCATGGGTCACAGCTCTCATTCAGTGTTAAACACAGCTTTGATCTGACTCAGCTTACACTGTTTTGGAAGTGAGTCAAACTCATCTCAGTTCTAGGTGGGAGTGTCCAAGCAGGAGCTCCATGTGATTTAAACAATCCACTTTAAATTCACAGGCAACTTCATATTAAGTAGGTTGAAAAACTTACAGATAACTACAGATAAACCCACAAAACAGAACTCTGTCCTATATACCCTAGTGATTATTGTGATGAGTGGTTTCTGCCTAGATGCAATTAATTGCAATCACTATTGTTACTCATTTGTCCTATCTACTGCAGTATGTCCAAATAGCACCACAGTCTGCATTTACCTTTCTGATTAACACCTTTCTGATTAACAGATGAGTCACTGTGCACTGCCAATTCTCAGCAATCCAGGAGCCATGAACCGACAGGACGGAGCATTGCTCAAACTGAACAGAAAACTCACCCTATACACAAGATCTCCTGCGGATACAATAGCAAATGCTTCCGTAAGTGGATTCGAATTTACTATGGTAGGATGTATTGCAACAACTCCAGAAGACAATGGAGAACCAGTCACATTGAAGGTATAAATGGAAACACCAGCTGGTGCATTTTCTTCAACAGTACTTGTTGCAGGCAAGCCCCTAAGCAGTGGGGTTCTTCTTCCTGTAGGATGAAAATGATTGAAAAATTACTTCCAGGAGTCCCAGACTGGCAAGAACACACAACTGCTGCCAAGAGGTGTCATTGAGCACAAAATGCCCTTATTCTCCTTTTGCTGATGAAATGTGGTTTGCACTGCAGTAAGCCCATTACTAATGGCAGCAGAATCGATCTTTTCTTTGATTCAGTACTGTGCTATTTTCACCTCAGATAGCTGATGTTTAAGGAGTATTGCCTTCATATCCCCAAACTGGCAGCGTACCTCAATGAGACTGAGAAGGACAGAATGCTGATGGCTTATCCAAAACACTTGCCAAGAAAGCTGGCTGCTGTTGGTAACATTTTCCGTGCACTGCATGCCAGGACAGCAGTGGACCCTGCTCACCAAAAGGCCAGGCTGCTCATATCCCAGCAACTACTGCAGCAAAAGTACCATGAAGTCTTTCTTTTGCTGGGCAGCTGCAAGGTAAGAAGCTTCTAGGGGGACTGTTCTGAGGCCATCAGGTCTGCAGCATGTTTGCACCTGGGTGCTCAGCCTGAGCCTTAGGAATGCCAAAGGGAAATGTGCTGTGTTGCAACACCTCCGAATGGTGGGAAGGAGCCACGTCCTTCTGCCCCTCTTCATGTGGCTGAGGAAGGATGGCCCACATCAGCCCCCAGAGAAGCCCTACAATTGCCATTCCTCAATGGTGGCAGGGCCTTTAGTCTGGAGGGAAGAAATCAGCTCCAAGAGTTTCAAATGGCATTAGAAGAAGCCTTGGTGATTTTTGCCCTAAACTATCAAAAATCTTGTTTCTCTGACTCACTAGTGACATTTTGGAGCAGATTACAAATGAATTGTGTTTGTGTGACAGACACTGCTTCTGTTACTGAACTCTCAAATAATCATTCCCCATAGGACCAAAGACCCTGGGTCCTAGTGTCTTTGCTTCCCAATAAGCAAACGCAATAGTGATAGGTGAGTCCATGAGGCAAAGCATGGAGTACAGTCCCTCTTCCCTAAACCCAGTGAAGGACTAAGCTTGTCTCAGTGTTCTTAAAGATTCCAGAAACCATTGTCAATAAACATTGCCTCTGTAAATGAGACTGTGCTGAGAGTGCTTTCTGGGAATACATCACAAATGGAGCTGAGCTCTGAATGTAACCTGTGGGCAGTGTTCAGTATCTAGTACTTAAAACAAGTCAGTTCATTGACAGAAAGCATTTACAAAGTCTATTAAATCATTCATAACATTTAGAAATGTAGGGGGAAAAAAGTTTATATTTTCATATTATCTCTGAATGGTTCCTTGGCTGTTTACTCAGGATTCGTCTTTCTAAACCATAAGTGCTTGCTTTTTGCTCTTTTTTTTTAACTGAAATTTTCTATACTGTATCTAAATGGTTTCTTCTTTCAGCTGATTTTACAAAAGCCCTCCCTCTTTTTCCACAAGTCCTTGGTTACCTCCTCACTTCACAGCATGAACCGTGCTTGAATAAATTTAATACACTATTTATCAGAATTACCAGTCCCAATCATTAACAAATTCTGAGCCCAATATAAAGCAGTTATGAGAATGGCTTTTGGAAGTATATATATATTCAAGCCCTAATTACCTGTGATTCATTAACATTTACAGAGGGCTTGAGTCATATCTTCAAGCTATTCTCTTCCCGTAACCACATAGGTTAGACAAACTCTGTTCTTCAGGACCAGTTTAGATTCACATGCAGTGGCAATGCCCTGACAAAATGCAGGGGGGCATCAAAGAAAACACCAAATACTGTCAGGTTTCTGAGGATTGGAAAAATTCTTTCAGTTTCTTGAGAGCAAGTGATGCTACCTGAGAAGACAGCTTGCTACAAGCAACTCCATCAGTGACACAGATTGTAGTTTGTAGATCCATTTTAAGTTGTTAACATGTACGTATTGGCAAACTTTTTGTGTTTTTACACTGAGCAAAAATACTGATATCCTCCTAATATTCTCCATAAGCGTTTTTCTGTTCAGCTTTACTTCATCAAATAGAAATGCTAACAATATTTGAAGGGACAATGCTACAATATTAAGAGTAGATAGCATTTCTGGCAGAACTGACCTCCTTTCCCACTCCAACACTGTCACACTCAGCAGCAGCTATTGCACACTGAAGTGCCTCTTCCACAAAAAAAGTCTTGTGAGAGGTCATATTCTCTTCATTATACTGCTGCAACCACTGCTGTAATCTATTTCAGTAGGAAAATAATTGTTACTTGATTTTTTCCATCTGTGTCTGATCCCTAAATATGTACTATAAAGTTCCCAAGAGAAAGTACAACAGCCAACAGTGTTCTAATTTTAGCAGTGTAATGAAATCATGTTCTTACCAGACACTACTACTCCCAGCAAAATGAAGAGAAGGAACGTGCTCTTCATCGTCTTTACAGCCCTGTCCTTCGTGTCCTCAGGATGCCAACTAAAGGAAGACCATGGCATGTTTTCCCTCCTTTACAATCAGCTCCACCTAAATTCTTCCTCTTTGTCATGTGGCATGAGAAATGAAACACAGGACCGTGTATCTAAGGGAGTTTCTAAACACCGTCAGCTTGTTTGCTTGTCAGGGAACTGCTCCTTGCTCACACTCCAGCCACAGACCTGGGCCACACTTGAGAAAACAGTCATGAATAATCCTTTCACTGCAGTGATCTTTTTTATTGAAGCATTATGAAAAGAACCTAGGAAGTTCTAAATGTGGAAATGCTGCACTGTTTTCATAGCTCTGGCAAATGAGGTGCTCTCTTCAGAGACCAGGATCAAATACTCATGCTTTCTTTCTTACACCAGAAACCTCATGTTTTCTCATTTCACCAGGTACCAGAGAACTACTCGGAACATACACTGTATACCTGGAGGTGAGACTGCAGCACATGCACGTGACAAAGTCAACTTTGCCGTAGCTGTCTCAGGAACAGCATGGACCACCAGTGCACTGATTCCTTGGGTTGAGCATTTAGACACTAGCCCACAATACACTTGTGCAACTTTTACTTGTTTGACCTAAGGGCAGTCCTAGCATTTTTGGTGAAGCATATTATCGAGGTGGTACTAATACTGGAACTGGTGGAACTGGATGCAATATAGGTGCATCATTATCAATTCACAGAATGATTCAGGTTGGAAGGAACTTCTGGATGTCACCTAGTCAAACACCCTGCCCAGAACAGGCCCAGTTAGATCTAGTTGCTCAGGAATTTGTCAGTTGGTTCTCAGGTACCTCCACACAAACTTTTCAGCTCTGCAAAGAAGTTGGAGCTAGTGATTCAGGTTTTACACAGCTCTGGAGAAACCACACCGATCTGTGAGCCTCTAGATATACCTCTGGAGGGTTCTGCATGATGCTGTGGTTGTCCTGGTGATACTGCTTCAGGGAATTTGTAAGAAACATCCATTTGGTGCTTCTAGTGCCTGCTGAGCCCAGATATGGCCTTGGCCTACAAGCAAATGTGGTCACACTATGTCACCTGGAAGCACATGCAGCACCACGCTGTTACTGAGGAAGCTAATCTTCCACTGCCCTGGGAAATGTGGGCCTAGATACTATATTAGAAATATATATGTATATATATGGAAAACCTCACCCTCAAATGACCTAATTATGCTGATAAGATATGAATGCATAAGTATTCATAGCAGAAAAAAAAAATCTGACCTGTTCCTTTACATACCAGGTCATTGCCCAGCCCTTCACATGCATTTCTTGGGTCTGCAAAGACGCTTTTGACCTGAACGGTCGTGTCACAAAGATGAGGTCTGTGTGCACAGACATGAACAAGGCCTGGGCAATAAGTACGTAATGATTTACAAATTACCAGAACAACATGAAACTGCTGCTAGATTTTTTCCCTCCTTCTAGTTGTAATGTCTAATATATCCCATTATATTGCTATTTATCTTACTCTTAAAAGAGCTAAAAAAACCCAAAGGCTAAATTTTAAAGTCTGAAAAATACATGTTTACATTTGGTTAGCATTGACTTTGATAGATAGTTCCCATCCTAAGCTCCAAATAGCCAAACCATGCGAGAACTCAGAGATCACAGTTTTTTAGCCTTTATTTTCTTTCTCTTCATTCTTTGGCTGCTTTGGGGAGTTTGCTGGTAGTGGTGGTAGTTTGCTTTGTTGTTTGATGTTCTTTTTTTGCCTACAAATACATACTTCGACATCTTTGTTTTGTCTTTCCTTTGTGTGAGAATTCACATGGATCTACTTTCAACAGGAACTCAGTATCCAAAGATACCAATCAGGCTTCTCCCTGCACATCTTGTGCCAAAGACACCGTAGAGGGACCGTGGAGACATGGACAGTACAAGTATTTGGAAGACATACATGCTTAAAATGCCAGCCTCTCTCCAGCTTCTCCTGGAAGTGCAACAACTTTCAGGTGCTGTGTGAATTCCCAGTGGAACAGTTAATATGTTTTTTCTTGAAATCTGTCTTCATGGCTTACAGGTATTCCCTGATAAGCCACGTGGTTCAAGCATGCTGTGAAAAGATCCCACAGAGGTGACCAGGGAGAGAGGGCTGGGGGGGGGGGAAGCACAGAGCAAGGGAGGAGGGGACAAAGAGCAGCTGTGGAAGGAGTGCCTGTGAGCAGAAAGGGCTCTGGCTCTTTCTTCCTCCTTAATGCACTGTCAGTACCTCTCAGTACCTCCTTTGGCCTCTCTTTTTTGTATTCCCCTGCTGAGATCGTTTGTGTGGTTCCCTGATCTGTCCTGCCAGGTTGTGAGGAATGCGAGAAAGATGCCAGAGTTAAGAGAGCCCCAAACTGGGAGAAAATCAAATAATATCAATAAGTAAATCCATATTGGCAAATATAGAGGTGCTGAGGAAGAGATGAGTTAGTAAAGGTGAGCAAGGCAGGAGCAGCTTGCTGGCAATGAGCTCTGCTGCTGCAGGAAGGACAGGGATGAAATCTGTGGGATATAAAGCAGCCAGATGAAAAGAGGTCAGGGCAGTGCAGGCAAGAGTGCAGCCAGGGAGTTTGCAGGCGAAGCAGAGGGAGGGAAAAATTAATTGGAGCACATGAAAAGGTCAAGGAGGGAGCTGAGGTTTTAATCATTCTTTGTTTTTCAAGATGATCTGAAACCTGAGCATTTTAGAGCACTGCTGAAAAAACACATTTCTGAAAAAAATGTCTTCTGGATTATCAGATAAAATGGAGAGAGTGAGAGGAAGGTGCTACACCTTTCAAGAAATTAAGGGTCTTTGTTCAGGGAAAAGACCAACAGATCAGCATGAGAGAGGCTGCTCCCATTTTAGGCTGGGATGCAGAGATAAAGCACATCAAAATTGAAGATACCAGGTAGAAAAGAGCGAAATCTAACATGCAAACTTCCAATTGCCTGTCCTCAAGAAAATGAGGGATTTTAACATAGGCCAGTGTCAGAGAAGCAGTCTCCTTGCATAACAACATGTGCAGCTTCAGGACTCTTTTTCTGTGCACTTAATTTTCAACAGCCTTCTAGTCCATTAACAGGAAAAAATGTTCTCTCGCTTTTCAAATACATCAGAGGTTCGAGACATAATTTTCTCATTAATGGCTATTTCAGCCAGAGTAGCGGCTCTCTTTTGTGTAGCCAACCCACAGGAAAAGAGGCATTTTGCTCTTACTGCGATAAATACCCACTAAGAATTGAGCAGCTTAATGAGAATTTTCCCACCCCTGATCCAACTTAAGGTCAAGGGTATTTATTGGTATTTCACCAGTCAAATTACTCAGATTGTCAGCTTTTATTTTCCTATCCTCTCTCTTTAAACAGTACAGCTTCTTCATCCGCTACCTTGGTAACCTTTCCTAAAATATTAAAAGAGTACCTCAGCATCCTACACCAAAAACTTACGCACCATTTCATTTGACTTCTCAGCTAAAAGCTTCCTCTGTACTATTTGTGAGTAACAAGAGCAAGCTAAAAGCCATGAGTATCCAGGCTATCTTAATCTCATGATCCCAGCTTAGCAAGTTTAGTAACCGATCCCATGCAATTATGTAAAAACGTCCCAGACGGATATCTGGGCCATCTGTTTTCTAACATTGACTTGTAGACACGTAAACGTTATCGTCTTGATAATTAACTTAGATGTCTGTTAATAAGAAGCACTACCATCACATCAAGGGCTTTTATGGCATTCAGCTTTAAGTAAAGGACAGTCTTAAATCTGAGTAAGGACGCACAGAAGCCTGAAAACATAGTTGTTGTCAGAACTGAAAACAACAGGATGGAGGTAGGCAGTGGATTGCAGAATCTCATAATCATAGGGGTTGGATGGGACCTCTGAAGATCATCTAGTCTGACCCCCTTCTAAAGCAGGTTCCTTGCACAGAAAAACATCCAGGTCAGTTTTCAGTATTTCCAGAGAAGGAGACTCCATGACCTCTCTGGGCAGCTCCCATTTGTGCCCATCACCCCTTGTTCTGTTGCTAGGCTAAAATGAACCTGGCCTCATCTATTTGATACCTGCTCTTGAGATATTTATAAGCACTGATAAGACACTGAAATTAGTTCAGTAAAGCTCTAGACACAGGAACATATCCTAGAATCCTTGAATGGCTTGGGTTGGAAGGGATCTCAGAAATCATTGAGTTCCAACGCCACTTCCGTGGCCAGGGTTGTAAACTGCCAGATGAAGCACTGGATCACGTTGCCCAGGACCCCATCTGTGCCTGTATAACTGAGTTCTCCCTACAGAGAAGTCAAGTGACTTCTCCAGGCCCCTGCAGAAAAGGAGTGCTAAGTTCAGTAGTGCTAATTGTAAGATATCATGACTTCAAACAGCATTTTGTTGCAAAATGTTTTTCCCTGTGCTGTTTGTTAGTTTCAACTAAACATTAAAGTTGGTGAAACACAAGCTCTGTTATTCACTCAGTTGAGCAAAAGTAGATGCTACCAGAAACTACTTTGTGTTCTGTGGTTCAATATAAAAAAGACATGGTAGTTTAGAACATCCATAACCTGCAATAAATGCTACCTCTTGTCCATGTCAGCCACGTATGTAATTTGGATTTTAATCATGTGAGCTGTCCTTAAATTCCTATATACATTAAATTCAGTGAAAAAAGCACTGAGGTCAATGAAGTCTCCTGAGTGCTGGAAATTGGATTGGGGTCTGAGCTCATGTGGTGAAACCTTGTACCTTGGGATACAGTATTTACTGCAGATTACAAATTTGTCTGTTACTGTGATTGCCAGGCCACCTGGGATGATTGGTAAATATATAAACAAGGACTTGAAGTAGCAAATGATACAAATGCAACAGGAAAGAATGCTCTGGGCAAATATGGGTGCAGAAACTCTGAGGTTTCCATGTACACAACGTGATGCACTTCACTTTGGCATAAACTTCAATATACCACCAAGAATTATTTAAACAGGCCTTTGC